ATTTGCATTTAAATTAGGTTACGATGCCTACTATTACCAAGGAAACGAAAAGAAGACAAGTACACAAACAGACATGAGCAAGCAAACCTTAGATAAACACAAGGGAGGTGGATAATAGTTCAAGTCTGTAGCGAAGAAAATTTTGCTCGATTAATTTGGTTGTATATGCTAGAACTGTCCCATAAAATGTTGTTGATAAAAAGTTTTGCTGTGAGTATTCAATCCATATCAGGACTACGATGGAATTGGTGATACTACTGTCACGGAGTCACATGAGGTGGCATTTATCGCGATTGGAAATATCGATAACATCTTCGTGTGATTATTTACAGAATCTATCGATTTTTTTGAAGTGATCGTAAAATCGAAAGACTATTTAAGACACGTTTTTTCATTGTTTCATCAATATTTTAATGACGTTAAAAAGTAAATTTTGTATTTCGTCAGTTTGTTCTACGCTCGTGTAAATACCGTAGAAATGGAAATCAAGTTCATGGAAAAAAACGCGAGGGAATCCTTGTGCGCGGGCTTCGCTGTACAGCGCAACAACACGACTTGCGAGTCTAAATACACAAACGCCCGGAAGTCGAACGATTTAGGGGGACAAATCTAGTGCGTTCGATCACTACTATTAGACGCAGGCACACATACAAATATACTGTATACATAAACAGGTCACTTGCTCAACAAATCGTCATCATTCCATGCACAGTTAGTAAATGCTTACAATCGCTGTCCAAATTTACCTAACTGCGTCGACACAACTGACTGTGCCAGGTTGTTATCAGTAACCTGCGTTTAACTGCAGTGATGGGGGTCTATTTGTGAACAAATTTATCTTACTTCCAACAAGGGGAATACAAAACAAGCACTATTATATGAAAGTTTACAACGCGGGGCCAAAGAATGCAAACTATCCATATTTTCTCTCTCACACACGAAGGCGAGATAGAAGGGAAGCGTGTCCTGCTGAATACACATGTATACGAGACTTGCTCTGGTGAACGTACTCGACTTGGCCCTGTTAAATACCATCGACGGATATGGAACTCAACAGACTACTTGCGGC